CTCTCTCTCTCTCTCTCTCTCTCTCTCTCTCTCTCTCTCTCTCTCTCTCTCTCTCTCTCTCTCTCTCTCACTCTCTCTTCTGAACCCCTCCTCCTTTTTCTTTTACATGCATCCGTTTTGAATTAAAACGTTACCTGTTTGTGTATTCCAGCCATCCAGCCAGTGCAGCCCTTCTCTTCTCTCCATGTGTGATCACCAAACATAATGTGTGCCTTAAAGCTCATTTATTTGACTTTTTCCTTAATTAAAAGAATATGCTGTGGTAAACAAGTACATAAAACCTACTCTAACTGTCATATGTCGGTGCACTTTGGTTTAGCTTTTCTAATAAGATTATTAGCAACTTATCTGTTGTTGTAATAGCTCTTTAGCTCCCGAGGGAGCCATTCTTCAACACGCTTTGGTGTCTCTGGAATCTCATTATAGAGAGCTTCAACCTGAGCTTTTAATTGTTGACTTTTTAAATTATGCTCTTGCATTAAAAATGAAAGTACAGCTCTTTAAAACTACACTAAAGTCTACTGTCTAATAAAGGAAAATCCCATTGTTTTATCATTTTAATTTCCTCTTTTTTGTCACTACAGTCGTGTCTCACCTCGGTTTTACAACTGTAACTAGTCTCTTCTTATTGTCTTTAAAACAAGCAAACTAAGAGCCATAATGGGCTTCAGAAGCAGTCATTAAATAAAATTATAACAGACACGGTTAGTAATTAGTGTTCGCCGATTTATGCCTATCTGCACAAAATAGCTTGAAGCTAGTACAAAAAAAAGGCTAAGATTCAAAGGTAAATGGGCTTTTTTTATTAATCACACGAGGGTCCGCCTCCCTGTTGAATTACTTTTTAACATCCCTAAATGTGTGTATTATTCTCCTTTTAACTTGTGTCACCTTCTTTCGTGAATGCACCTGTGATGTTTTTTTTTCTAAGAGCACGCTTTAATTGCTTTGTAGGAACACAGTCAGGCTTGAACTGTTGGGAAACCGAAGCAGTGGCGTCATGCATCAGGGTGCACAAAATGTAACACTGGCAATGTTCCTGCCAGGCTGCTAATTTGGATGGACATGATGCTGTACTACTAACACTACATGGAAAGCTAGTTACAACCACAAAACCAAAAGTGTTGGAACACTGATAATAAGATTTTCAAATCTCATTAATCCTTTTTTTTTCCCACAATGGAAACATCTCAAATGTTTAAACCAGGCCTATTCAACTAAATTGCGAAGGGGGCCACAGTTCTGGGTTGGGTTGTTGGGGGAATGAGGGGTTGCCCTATAGGGAAACACTGCGTTATGTAAAACAACAAGTACTATCTTTTACTTTTTTATTTTATTTTTTAATGGTTTTTTTTGCATTGAATCATAAATTTTAAATTTGCAACTGATTTAATTAATAAAAAATGTGGGCTGCAAGTTAAATAGCCCTGGTTTAAACTAAGAAGCAATACAAATTTAAAGCAAACGCAAAGTGATTTAGAATTTTATGGATGTAACATATCTCAAAAAACATCAGGACCAAAGCAACAAAAGGCTTCAAAAGTAAGTGGTATGAATCAAAAACAGCTGGGGGAGCATTTAGCAACTAATTAGGTTAATTAGCATCAGGCTAGTACTGAGTGTAAAAATAGTGTTTTATAGAGACTGAATCTCAGAAGCGAAGATGAGCACAGATTAAGTAGTCTGTGTAATATTTTCGTTGCGTAACACAATATATGCATATAAAGAATTTTTCTATATCTTTTTAATGTTCTTTGTTGCTTCTTTGTCTCTTTTTGAAACGACAGAATGTTTACGTGAACATCAACCGTATCATGTCGGTGGGAAACCGTCTTCTGGAGTCGGGCCACTACGCCTCGCAGCAGATCCAGCAGATCTCAAGTCAGCTGGAGCAGGAATGGAAAGCGTTCGCTGCGGCGCTGGACGAACGCAGCACTCTGCTGGAGATGTCTGCCAGCTTCCACCAGAAGGCCGATCAGGTACCGATGAAGACGACAGATAGTTAAAGTTAAAACATTCTTTGTAAAAAAAAATTAAGAAAACATCCTGCTGACATGTAAAAGTATTTTGATCCAAACAAGCTGAGGCATTTGTTTTAAGTGTCTGAATGTATTGAAATAATGAGCAGACAGAAATGAAACCCAATATACGGAACTTCAACAACTATAAAAAATAATTTGTTTTGCTGTTGCTTGCAGCAGAATAAAATTAAATAGTTGTTGAACTAGCTGTTTGCTCAGTCGCTTCTTGATTTAGAGTTTGTGATGATCAAGAGTTTCTCATAACCTGCTGATGTCTGCTGTCACCAGTGGAACCACACAGAGCAGTGATGTGGAGATTTTTATGATATTCAACCTGAAAAATAATCGACATTTTGACATCAGTGGGCTCCAGTAATGTGGAGCTTTTTTTTTTATATTTTAGAGTCAGTAATTTAAATATTTATCTGAGACATACATTCATTTCACACTTTTTCATATAAATCAATCAGTTGTTGAGCAAAGTGCTTTACAAGGAGGAAAACCTTTTGTTTAAAAAAATCCAACGGTTAAAACCAGAAGTATAATAAAATCGGCTTAAAACGAAGCAGAAATAAGCCCAAACTTCTGATGGATATCAAACCAAAGCCAGAGTAAAAAAAACTGTTTTCAGGTGGGATTTGAAGAACTGAACAAACTCAGCAGTACATACATAGAGGAAATCGTATAAACTACTTTTTGAAACCAAAAATGTTATTAATGTTATAACATTTTCCAGATATAAGTTAGATTTCCAAGGTAAATGGGCACCAAAATACCCAAATTGTATTGCTTTTCTTTCTGATAACATCATGCAAATGAACAGAATGAAAAGGAGAATGTGTTATCTATTGTTTGTGTGGTTGTTTATTTCCTGCCCAGTACATGAGCAAAGTGGAGCCGTGGTGTAAAGCGTGTGGTGAAGGAGAGCTGCCCACTGAACTCCAGGATCTAGAGGACACGATCCACCATCACCAGGGACTATACGAGCACATCACCACTGCATACTCAGAAGTCAGTGCACAACAGGCTTAAAAAAAATGCGCACCTGTGCATAACATTAATGCCAAAACTTCAAAGAACAAAACCCAGATAGATGCAGCATTCTGACAATGCACTCTGGTGTGTGCAAACAATTTTACAACATTAAAAAAATGCAAATATTTCTTTTTATTTATTTATTTTTTCAGGTGAGTCAGGACGGCAAGTCCTTGCTGGACAAGCTGCAGCGACCTTTGACTCCAGGAAGTGCCGACTCGCTCATGGCGTCGGCCAACTACTCCAAGGCCGTGCACCACGTCCTGGACATCATCCATGAGGTGCTGCACCACCAGAGGCAGCTGGAAAACATCTGGCAGCACCGCAAAGTGCGCCTGCACCAGCGCCTGCAGCTGTGCGTCTTTCAGCAGGACGTGCAGCAAGTGAGAAACGCAACGCAAACATTCACAGAGAAAATCGGCGTCCGAAGGTTATTTTATTTATTTATTTATTTTTCGGTTTAGCACACGACGAGAGGGATGGCAAAAAGCGCCGTCCTAGCTTTCCACCCGTTTGGACTTTTTTTTTTCCCGAGGTAAATTTGGCAAACAATCTGCGCAAGGATGCAGAGAGTCTAATATTATAAACATAACATGATAGCATATAGCTTAATTTCATCTGGATGACCTCAGTCAAACAGCTAGAGCAGTAATTTAGCCTCTCTCTGCTTGTTTCCATTACGTTTTTGGTTTCTCACTCTGTCTTGCTGTAGCGTCTGCGCTCTTGTCTTTCCCCACTTCCATCCACTCTTTTGTCACCCTTTTCTGCTGGTGGTGGTTTCCATGGTGCTGCAATTTACTGCCACATAAAGCATCGTGGTTTTTGTCCCGTGGAAATATTCTGTCAGAGACCTTGAAAATCCCTGCACAGAAACCGAGGGGGTGTGCCTGACTGTTTCATAGATAATAAGGTTATTAAGCAGGAAGATTTGTTGCTTTTTAAACGTGCAGATATTGGACTTGTTTACTCTTTGCACATTCCCCCATTAACCGTTCATGGTTCGATAGTTTCACTTTGACAGACTGCAAATGGAGAGAAGGAAAAGAAAGGCTGAGCTGATGGAGACTCAGCAAAATGAGAAATATTACATCCATAAATTGCTCTCACTTGTGTGATCTGAATACAGCCATTCTAATCGATTTCCACCACCTACTGGCTGAAAATGTGAGTTGCAGCCCGTGGTTAGGTAGGTTGCGTATACAGAAATTTATACATCTGCTGTTTTATTTGTGTGTTTTTGAGGTGTTAGACTGGATAGAAAACCACGGAGAGGCCTTTCTCAGCAAACACACTGGCGTTGGAAAGTCTCTGCACAGAGCTAGGGCTCTACAGAAGAGACATGAAGACTTCGAAGAGGTTGCACAGGTAGGTGTTTGACGTTTATCACAAATTAGTTTGATTAGGAAAAAAAACAAGATTTTCCAAGTCTTTTTTTTTAATTTTCAGTAGGTATAACACCAAGTAAACAAGCTTTCTTTCATTCCTTCAGAACACCTACACCAATGCTGACAAGCTGTTAGAGGCAGCAGAGCAGCTGGCCCAAACCGGAGAGTGTGACCCAGAGGAGATTTACCAGGCTGCCCACCAGCTAGAAGACCGCATCCAGGACTTCGTGCGACGCGTCGAGCAGCGGAAAGTCCTGCTGGACATGTCTGTTGCCTTTCACACACATGTCAAAGAGGTATCTGTTCTCTGTCTTGATTTCTTATTTTATTTATTTTTATTTACCGTTATTTAACCAGGCAAGCTCTGTTGAGATCTCAGATCTCTATTTCAAGGGAGGCCTGGGCCCTGAAGGCAACCTATTGTGCTTGTTTTCTCACCTGGAAGCTAATCAGATGCTAAGCTCAATAAACTTGGCATCTAAAAGGTAAATTTGTTATGAATTCTTTAATTTTAAAATAATGGTAGAAAAAAACCCCGTAAAAAACAATGAAAGGTCGTAAACTGACGTTTGTATTGTTGCTATTGACTTTCACACCACATAAAAAATGCCAAAAGCCTCAATATAGGAACTTTGTTTTTATTCTTTAAAAGCAAGTAAATTCCAAAAAATAAATTGTAAATGCAAAATCAGTTTTAGATCCTAGGCTATCGTTTGCAAATTGTGTTTACCTGCATGCAAAACATGATGAAAAGAAATCAGGAAACGTCTAATCCAAACATCTTGCAGCCGAAACAGAACGTAGAAAATGTTCATGTGCAGTTAGCAGCGGGATGTTTTTGCAGAGAACTGATGCCTTTTCATTTCCCACCTGAAGTCTATTTTCAGTCATCATAACCATCTACACCAAATGAACCACAAACCCAAACAACGCATCTGTGTACATAAACCTCCGCCGTCTTTTTGCCTCTGTAACACAAATGTGTTTGCACAAATTAAAGGCCGTCAAACTTCACCTGCTCTCTTCTTAACTTCCATAATAACTAGCATGTCTCTGGGCTCAAACTGAATCTTCAAAGAGAAGCTGTTCGTGCTACAAACGTGTTAATCACAGGTTTGCTTTCGTAATTAGTTTGAGTTAAACAGATCGTGTCGTTCGGAGCAGAAGAGGAGTTGTTTCTGCTCTGATTTTCACAAATCTGACCCAGAACAAACACCATAAAGTCTGTCATTTTCTGCCACGTGGATTAAATTGACATAACCTTTTTTTAAACAGCTTTCATCTGAACTGAGTTGAGCTCACCTGTGTATGTGACTTCTTACTAAAAATTAGATCCTAAATTGTGTACCTTCATATAACACAATAATTGTTCCACATTTGATTTATTGTGTTGAAATGTGGGGTAAGGCATGTAAAACATTTACTAATTCTGTTCTTATTTTGCAAAAAAGAGCTATAAGAAATATTACCAGAAAACATTATAGTCGCCCATCACATATATTATTTCATCAATTGAAATTATTTAAATTGTATGAGTTAGTTGATTATAAGATTTTGTTGATTATGTATAGGGCTCATAAAAATGTATTGCCTTTGAATATTCAATCTAATTTTGTTAAAAGGGAAATTTGTTATAATTTGAAAGGAATTGAAATGTTTATAAACCTAAAATTTGAATACATTAGTTAATTAATTAATACAATTAGTTCTTTTTTTTGTTATGCTGAAGAGTGTGTAAATTTATATATGTG